ATATAGAAAATCCAAGTTATGAATATGCAAACACCAAACAAGAGAGAAAACTAAATTAATACTTAAAACAATAGTTTGAATAGAAGATTAAAATTAAAGTTTTCATTATGCATATAAATCTCATAGACTTAGAATTTATACATTAAGTCAATCTTCAATCTTTTTATTTCATCAATAATGCGTTTATTTTTATAGTTTTTTTAGCTTCTATAATAATTTTATTGAAATCTTTTATAGTATTTTACATTTGAATTGGCACTTCTGCTAGCAGTAAATAATGTTAAATAATGTTATTGAATATTTAAGCTATATTGATAAGCCAATTAAGTAAATATAATATTTTTATTAAAAATTATAAATAATTTTACTGCATATATTAATTTAAATTCAGAACTAGTTTGTTATTTATTGATAATTTATTGAGATTGTGTCCTCAATAAATTATCCCGTATATAAAAGAGGAAGAAGAAATTGTTCAGATTTTCATTGTCATTGTCCAGTCTATGCACAACGTAGATAAAGTATGTTAGGGACTTAGTTTCAATAGGATCTTATTCAACCACAGGCAGGACTATCCTCTTCTAAGAGCACGCAAATACTCTCCTCGGTCGCAAGTCTTGTGGAGATCATAAATTTTTGTTAATATTATGTATTCTAGGGAATTCTTTTCCATTCCTATAAGATATATAAATATTGTGTAATACTCATCTTTACTTACATCTTTTGCAGAGGGATAGAATATCTGCCAGTTTAAGTTTTGAATACACCCAGATGGATGCTTTAGTTTGAGAACCTGAGTTTGAGTACACTGGGTAATACACTGGTGATACACTGAGGGTATGGGCTTGTAACCACTGGGGTGAATATAGATCCATAAAGGTGAAGGAGCTCCAATCTGTTAATTGCTCGACTGAATGTCTGGATGCCAAACTAAAAATAAAGATGATTTCTGCTTAATATATAACTATCTTTTTTCATAGTCTATTCACACCAGAAAAGTTGATTCTGATTAACTACTTATGATAATTCTGTTCTTGCTGCTATCTATGCAATTGTTGTTTTCAAATCTATTAAGCTAAAAAAGTTTCTTGAATTTATTATTTTTCATCTTTGTACTCATTTGTAATTAGGCAGCAAGTTTTAATACGCTCTTTAACAGTACTTTTTTCTAAAATTGCTTATTGAGGTTTTTAAACAGTAACATTTTGAGGTTTTAACAGTACTTTTTTCTAAAATTGCTTATTGAGGTTTTTAAACAGTAAAAATGTGATGTGAATGTGGATTTAATGAAACCGAATGTTTGATGACTATATATCATGTAACAAAGTAATGTCAATATTTGCAATATCAGTTTTTATGATATGCTACTTCCGTCGTATTTGTTTGCAAGATTCAAACACAACTAAATATTATAGATTTTTTTTCAAACTAGAATCAAAGTCTTATATATATATAAATGGTTTCAGTTCATTTTTTATGCATAAAAATTTCTGTGTTCATAAAAATGTCATTAAAATATCAGTCAATGCCTAATGATTATTTTAGAATGAATAATAATATAGTATATCTATAATACTGTAACGCTCTATATTTATATACATTATAAGTTTGTTTATTTTGAAATCTTTAAACCTGCCCTACTTAGCACTATTTAATCTCAGAGTAATCAGTAACCATACAAGGCGGTAGGCAGATCTAAGATCAGTTATTGAATAATCACGAAGCTTATGAGGAATACACGAAGCTTATGAGAAATACACGAAGCTTATGAGGAACACACAAATTAGTCAGTGCGATGGGTGGGATTCTGCAGAAACCCCCCCAGCTTTCAAAGAGTAAAATTGCTCAGAAGCACTAACTCGGAAATGCCTCAACATTAGACATTTGACATATATATAAATATATATTGATTTTTTATTCTATCTTTCCATCCATATGTTTATCATATTATTAACTTTCATATCTATCTTTTTATTATCCACATCTAGAAAGTGTTATCTTTTATTAAAAATAAAACTGGCATAAAAAAATTAAATTTGCTACTAAAATATATGTACATATTATTCATTTTATATACATTTATGTATTTGCATTCATATATATATTTTTTTACTTTAAATAATCGTATTGAGCACAATTCATACCATTCACTTTACAAAAAAAAATTCACCAGACCGATGAAGATTTAAGTCAAAAAGTGTTAACCAAATTTATACCTCAATAATGTTGATGTTATATTTTTTAATTTATTTTTAGTTGTTAAATAAAGAATTGCAGTGACAACCGAATTAAACAATTTAAAATAGTAAATAAAATAATTTCACAAGCCAGTCAAGCATAAAAATCAAAATGGTAATTTTTTTATTTGAAGCATAAAATGCGAGTAAAAACAGCAGTGCCCATTCCTTTTCTTTGACAATTTGATATGTCGAAAATTTATCTACGCGTTCGATATGTAAATTTATCTTCGATAAGATAGCAAAGTTTCACAATATATTTTAGTTTTCACCGATATCTACTCGTACTTTTGTTTTTTTTTAATTTCTCCCCTTTTTAGTTTGGTTCAAATTTTAACTTTGTTATTTAGTTTTTGCCGTTGGAAAAACCTCAAGTTGTCATTCCTAATTTTTTATTTGTCAAATGCTACAAATTAAAATCTAAATCGGAAGTTGGAAATTGGAACCATTCCATGTCATTTCCTTTTTTAATTGCTTTGTTTTTGCTGTTTTAAAGTTTTAATGATTCTGCCTCGCTTTCTAAGTACTTGCAAAAGAAATCATGAGCTACACCAGATAGACAGTGAACGTTAATTGTTTACTAAAGAATTTACTCATATTTTTATATATTTTAATATTATAGTTCTAAAATTTCCACATAGATCTGAATTTTATAAAAGATTATCTTATAGCTGGAATAAATTACACAAAGTAAGAGAACTAACTACCGGCTAAACTAACTTGGATAATAATATTAATATATTAAAAAATAAAGGTTCAGAATAAATATGGGTTAACCTAAATGATTTGTACAAAAGTAACTGCAAGCCATAAGTTTTGCTTTGCTATTGCTATCTCTAAGAGGTTCTAAGTCAATCGGAACATCTCAAGAAAGTGGAATTAGACTGACATATAAAATATTATTATTAAAATAAATAAAATATTATTATTAAAATAAATAAAATAAAATATTAATATTAAAATATTAATTATTTATTTACTTATGGATTTGATTATTTATTTATGGATTTAATTATTAATTGATTTAATTTTTTATTTATTTATCGATTTAATTATTTATTTGTTTATTTAATTATGTATTTATTTAGTTGTTATTCATTTAATCTATTTTATTTTTTTATTTTCTTATTTATTTATTTAATTTTAACTTGTAATTCTATTTAAATTTTGATTAATTTATTAAGATTTTAAATTTTGATTAATTTATTAAAATTTTAAAATTTGATTAATTTATTTAAATTTTAATTAAGTTATTAATTTATTTAACTAACATTGAATTCAATTGAGTCAGGTTATTGTAAATGGGTAGGATAAACCTTTAATTTTAGGAAAGGGCTAAGAATAATTTTAAATCGTTTTTAGGTATTGTCATTAAACAATATACTGAAGGCAT